ATTCCTTCTTCCCCTTATTTTCTTTCTGGTTTATGAGCTCAGGTGATGAGAGTAACATGGATGACATCTTTCTTCTTTTCCGCTGTTGGACATTTCTCTAAAATCCTACAGCTAAGGGGCCACATGAAAGCGAAGGGGTCGAGTAGCCTTCTTGCTGAGCCCTGCCTTGCGAGGACTCCGTCTTCTCTTCCCTGGACCTGCTACTACTCACACTCGTGGTGCCCCGACACCGGATGTGCAGGCTTTCCTACCGCCACCAGCGGGCTGTCCCAAGACCCCATTCAGTTCTGACACTCTTGACCCGTGGGTAGCACAGCCCTCGCAGACCAGGGCTCAGTCCCACAAAACTGCCATCATGTCAGCTGCCATCACAAATCCCCATGGTTTCCTCCTTGAGATCGACCATCACTAGGACAGCTCACGGAACTCAGGGAAACAGGGAAATATAAAATCATTATTTTATAATAAGGCGTGTGCTAAAGGATACAGAAGAACAGCAGTAAGCAGGGGTGCATAGGGTGAGGTCTGGGAGGGTCCCGAGCATGGGAGCTTCTGCCCCGTGCAGTGGGGGAATGGGCACTCTCCCGGCACGTGGATGTGTGGGCCATCCCAGAAGCTGTCCAAATCCCATGCTTTGGGGATTTTTCTGGCAGCTTCATGTAGACATGATGGATCATTAACTTGCTTTCCAGCCCTTCTCCCCTTTGGGAAGGATGGGGGTGGGGGAGAAAGTTCCAAGCTTCGAATCATGGCTTGGTCTTCCCAGCGACCAGCCCCCATCCGAGATGCTCCCATCACCAGGAAATTCCAAGGGATTTAGGAGCTCTGTGTCGGGAACTGGGGTCAAAGACCAAGTACTAGAAGGAACTGGGGACAGAGACCGGTGGATATATTTCTTATGTCATGAGCTCTGGGCACTTAGTGAACTCACAGGGCAGGTCCGCCGGTGACACGGGTCAGCGCTGCTATCACAGGGGGCAGATTCTAGTTTCCCGCATCCTTGGGTGACCGCTCCCTGAGGGCGGCAGTCACATCACTCACCGTCCCCCAGCAATCTAGAGGGAGCCTGGTTCCAAGCGAGTGGCAGAGAAGCCTTTGTGGAGTGGGTGTCCCTCCAGGAGGGCAGGAGGGGCCGAGTGAGGGTCTGTGTGGGGGAAAGCCCCGTGGTTGGGGTCCCAGGTGGGAAGACAGCCCGTGTGCCGGGGACAGGGCAGAAGGGGAGGTGGGCCAGGGTGGTTGGTGGGCGCTCTGGGGCAGGGCTGGGCTTAGGTTCAAATCCCCAAGCAGGGGGTGTATTGAATGTGAGGGAGGACACCCCCAGAGTGTGGTGGGAATCACCACAGCTGCCAACCCGATAGGGAGAACAGGACCTTTAGGTTGGAACCTGGGCTTGAATTCCGTCTCCCAGACCTACTGGCCGTGTGCCCGTCGGCAAGTTACAGGGCCTTTCTAGATTGTGAATAAAACGCGTTTATCCAACAAGTCCTTCACTGGATGCAAACTCCCATCATGAGGTTGGGTAGGTACGTTATTCCCTAGAATATGACATTTCCTTTTTTTTTTTTTTTTTTTTCATTTTTTTCCGACCAAAGGAAGACTAGACCTATTTCCTGCCTGTTTAGTACCTTCCTGTGCATGTACCACAAGGCCCAGGGATGAAATACCTTCCCACCTACTTGGCTTCTCACGGGCTCTTCCTCGCTGTGTGACCAATGGCTGAGAGCACCAGCGGCTTCCTTCCTCACTTTGTGCCCGTGCTGGACGGTCGGAGAGGCGGGAAAGGGGGTCAGCAGCCTGGAGGACGTGGGCTGCAGGAGTCAGAGTCGGGGCAGGGGGAGGCAGAAGTCAGTAGGTCAGAGCCCCTCAGGTGGAAAGGAAACCAGAGGAGAAGCCTCGGGGGTCGGGGGGTGGGGAGGAAGGCCTGTGGCACAGAGATAAAGATAGAGGAAACCCCGAGAGGCCTGTGCACTTGTCCTTATCCCCTTGGTGATGCTGTCATCCTGCCACTCGCTTTCCGAGTGGGAACGGGAAAGGGGTCTGACTTGACTCCCCAGACCCAACCAACAGGAGTCCACGTCCTCATGGTGCGTCAGCAGCATCCCACGGACTCAGAGATGCATCGGGCCTTTCCTCTTTGGGGCCCCGTCCAGAAGGCTGGCTCTCTTCCCACACCCGCCCCGTGGACAGGTGGAAGGGCTGCCTCCCACCCCGCGGGGTCTCCCGGCCCCTCTGCTCTCTGCTGCTCACATCGCTACAGTGGGTTAAGCCAAGAAGCCACCGTGATCTACAGGGAAGAGGTGATAATTGCCTCGGGGGTGGTTTCATTGCCTGTTCCCGGGCAGAGTTAGAATTCTCTTGCTTTGACATCCTGTCTAGTCTGGGGATGGTCTCCTTTGTACTTCGGTTACTGCCCAAAGAAAGCTTTGTTGGCTGTTGTGGGGATCTGGAGTCAGGGCAGTCAGGGGGCTTGGGATGGGTGTTTTTGGAAGTGGATCTCAGGATGGTCTAGTGAGTAAGTACCTTGTCAGGGCCTGAGAGTGGATGTTTTTGGAGACAGTATTTTCCTTCATTATCACATGTGTTGAAAACGGAAGGCGAGGGCACTGGGGAATTTGCTAGGGTGCTGGAAATATTCTTTCTTGCTCTGTCTTTGCATTACCTAGGTCATCTGTCCAAACCCATTGGATGGTAGACATCGTTTGTGCGTTTCACTGTTCATGGATTTTATCATGAAAAAATAATAGTAGAGGAGCCTGGATGGCTCAGTTAAGCGTCTGCCTCTGTCTCAGGTCATGATCTCAGGGTCCTGGGATCAAGCCTTGTGTCAGGCTCCCTGCTCAGAGGGAAGCCTGCTTCTCCCTCTCCTGCCCACTCATGCTCTGTCTCATTATCTCTGTCCCTCTCAAATAAATAAAATCTTTAAAAAATAAAAGAATAATTGTAAGCAAATAATAAACTCTTAATGATTTACAGGCTGACGTGCTTAGGGATGAGGTGGACCGCTGCCTTCACCTTGCTTTTAAAAAAATGCATCAAAAGTGGGACACCTGGGTGGCTCAGTCGGTTAAGCCTCTGCCTTTGGCTCAGGTAATGATGTTCTCAGGGTCCTGGGATCAAGTCCCACATCGGGCTCCTTGCTCAGCAGGGAGCCTGCCTCTCTCCCCGCCTCTGCCTGCCACTCTGCCCGCTTGTGTGCTCTCTCTCTCTCTCTCTGACAAATAAATAAAATCTTTTTTAAAAAATGCATCAAAACTAAGAGGGGTTGTTGGATTGATTGATGGTGGATTGTTCACGATTGTAGAATGGGTGGGGGGGAGGGCGCGTATGGCTGTTTCTCCTCTCCTCCTCTGTGTTCTGACAGACCTCTCTGCTTGTTTGAACATCTCATAATAAAATGCCGAAACAGAAGAACTGACAGGAACTACTGCTTGTGCCCTCTAGAGCTTTCCATAAACGAATTCCCGAGACCGCTAGATTTCTAGGCTGACACCACACTCCTCCTGCAGGCGCCCTCACTCACTTCCCCCTGGGAGCGCTGATGAAGCGAACGGAGGGTTCTTGGCTTGGTGTGCCCTCTGCGGGGCTGGTGTGGTTGCTGTCAGTGCATTGCACGAAATGGGTGTTAGCTTGGACCTCCTTGAGGGAGACGCAGTCCATGACCTTGAATCCATAGAACTCTGAAACGTGGGGCTTCCTACCCTGTAGGCAGAAGCCTGGGGATTCGCAGCCAGAGACCAGCCTGACCCAGATTTCGAAGAGGGTGCCCGAGCTCCCGCTGACCAAGAACTCAAGCTGGTTGGCCGCTGGACCCTGGGTGTGCGCGTATGTGTGTGTGTTCAAAAATCTTAATGTTAGACAATACATTGAAACACATTCAGATGCTTTTTTGACACTAGACTTTTGTCAGTTATAAAGTCACACCTGCTCTTCCAAGAACTTTTTTTTTTTTTAATAGAGAACATGCAAAGAAGTAAAACCAACCATAATTTTAGAACCTCAAGAAACCACTCTTTATATTTTGGTATATTTATTCCCCGAATTTTTTTGTTTTTTTTTTAATCTCACACACTGTTTCTGTCATTGTGATGCTTCTCCCTCTGCCTCAGTCACGTAGCCAGCGGACTGTGGCATTCGAGTCCAAGAGCTGGACCTCCGCTTTGCCGTTTGGGGCAGAGGCGACTCGTTCTGGAAGCTGGTAGTTTGCAGAGCGCCCTTGATGGCCGCTCCTGGGAACATGCAGCGCAGTGGAATGAACCTCTTTTTCCGAATTGAGAGCTGATGTGCAGAGAAGATACCAGGTTAACTCCTGCCACGTGGGAAGTGAGTTGGGTGGGAGGCTGAAGGTTAGAGCCTGTCTCATCATGTTGTCTTCAGAGCTGGAGGGCAGCGCAGTAGGGGGGCCTGGGGTCTTGAAGGGACAACAGGTGTGTATAGGGCACCTGGCCAGGGAGACTGTGAGCAAAGGCTAAGCTCAGGAGCCCAGGGGGGCTTGTTTGGAGTTGAGGGGCAGGGAAGAGCATTGGCTTTGTGTTCTGACAGACCTGGGGCTGGGGGCCTGATACTTTTGTATCAGGATAGTCACCCCCATTGGTTCCCAAGGAGAACTGAAGGAAACAAAGTTGTTGAAATCGCCTGGTCTGTGTGCTTGGTGTATTAGGATCATGGTGTGGTGGGTTGGACATCATCTGATGAACAGTGGGAGTCTTTGAAAGGCTTTGGGCTGGGAAGGAGGGTGACGGGGCAGAGACTTTCTATCATGCTGGCGTAGAGGACAGCAGAGGGTAGGGAGCGGAGCCTGAAGCTCTTTCCTGCAGGTGAAAAGCTGATGGATAGAGAGAAAGAGAGAGAGAGAGAGATCGATCTCAAAGGAGTGATCTGCAAGGTTCGGTGATAGGCTGGTTATGGGGGGGGAGAGGCATCTCACTTTGTTCATTGGCTTTTTTAATGACTTGGTTTACGCTCTCTCCCCCCCGACTCACCGGCATGTTCTTGCCTTTCAGGAGCCTGCATGAAGTGCAGCAAAGGTGTGTTTGGGGCTGGCCAGGCCTGCCAGGCCATGGGGAACCTCTACCACGACGCGTGTTTCACCTGCGCAGCCTGCAGTAAGTGTGGGGGGGGTGCTTGGTGGGGGGACAGGGAGCATGGGGCCCGGGAAAGGGAGGACAGGGACGAGCATCCTTTCTGGAGACTCTTGACCCGGGCCTTCCACAGTCCCATGGCTGGGCAGGCTGGTATCCTTTAGAGCCGCAGACTAGGGCCCGTCTGAGGAAGGGGATGGGCCCCGAGTGCCAGCGATTGCTTGGGGCTGACCTTGGTAATGAGTTGAGTGGGTTCAAAGCAAGCTGTAAGAACTGTAAGAACGTTTGTAATGATTATCAGAGGTCTCAAGCGGGTGAAGCCCACCATCTGCCCTGTTGTCAGTTACCTCCCCCACCGTGGGACCAGCCAACCCCACTTCGGTTACTCCCCTGGGAGGCAGGTCCTGTTATCACTCTGTGACCCCACTCTGATCTGGAGGCCACTCCGTGCGTGTGAGGTGCGAGTGTGTGTGTGAATGCCTGCGTGTGTCCACCGCAGGGGTGTCTGGGCCTGTGAGCACACACACCTGCGGGCATCTCTACCCCGCACACACACAATGACCAAAGCAGACAGTTACGAGACCGGGCCTGTGCCCAGCCCTGCAAACTGCTCGTTGAGTTGATGGCAGCCCCCGGAAGATTCTGACCGAGTCAGGAGTAAGCCTGTCTTAGGGTCTCTAGCAAAGATTAATTTTGAGGAGCTTTTTTTTTTAAAGGATGTCCCGCTGATTTTTCCAGTTCTAGAGGGAGGCTCGCGGCTGTCCATTCAAAGGAAATGGTTCTCGGTCCTGGCTGTTCGTTAGAATCCCCCTGGACATTATAACAGCCAGTGATGCCCCAGTCCCACCCCAACCAGCAGAACCGGAAGCTCTAGGGGTGGAATTTCTAGGCCAGGGTGCTGTCTAAGCACCCGGATCAGTGCCAGGCTCTTCAGTGTAGATGCCTCTGGAGAAAGAGGGGGAGAAATCTGCTCTCAGCTGTTTTGGGCCACAGTTGGGAGCCTCCTGATTCCGAGGGCAAAGGTAACGAGGTGGGCACGGAGCTGCCTCCTTTCCTGCCCAGCGGTGCTGGCTAGGCCTGTGCCAAGGTTCAGAACCTCCTCCAGTCCTCACTGCAACTGCCCATAAAACTCGTGCCTGAGAGTTGATGGTTTGTGTACCGATTAGTATTCACCTCTGTGGGGAAAACTGTGAAAGCCTTTGAAATGGGTCAAAAGGCAGCTCGGTGTCCTCAGTGGATATATTGGGGTTCCCTGTGGGTTGGTTTCTCCGGGTCCCGGGCTTCTCGCCTTGTCTTTGAGCCACGCTATCTGTGTAGGTTATGGCATCCTGATAGTAGTGCACACACGATGCTTGTCCCTAACGGTGCATACCGTGCCTGCTGGAGAGGCCGCTGACCGTGGCCCTGGGGAGTCTGCTTCCGATGGCCATAGAGCTGTGGTTCTTTGCGCTGTCCCAGTTGTAACGTCTTAACTGCTTCCCGTCTTATAGGGTGACATTAAATGATAAGTGACATTAAATCTTTGACCGTGTTGTCTGAGTCTTAACTGTACAAGAGTCACGATCCTTCCTCTTCCTAGAAAATGATCTTTCCATTTTGGCTCCTGTAACTGTTTCTCAATATTTGCTGTTTTCCATATTAAGTAGAAGCTGGCTTTCATCTCAAACAATTGCCAGTTGAACTAAGAAAGTTTTTCGGGGCTGGTGGGGGGCGGGCACTGATAAGTCTGTCGGGATAGGACTAACCTGCATTTCCATAATGGGTTGAATTTTTCTTCAAATGATGACCAACACAGACACTTAAGGAAAACACAGCTGGTTGGGGATTTTTCTGGGTCTAGCATCTAAGGCCCTTGTGTTCTGGTTTCTGTCGTAATGCTTCCTATAATTTGTCACAGACTGAACTCTCTCTTCTGCCTCTGTATCTCCGATCACACTGTCCCGCAGGATCTGCTCTCCCTACTCACTTCATACGTTTAAGTTCTGTCCAGTCATTAGGGCCCAGCTCAAAGGCTGCCTCTTCCAAGAAGCCTTCCCTGTTCTCCTAGTGGAAGAAATGTCTTTGTCTTGAGCTCGGCATGCCCCAGTGCTGTCACGTAGTGTGAACCACACTCTCTGGGACCTTGTGCCAGCAGGCTGGGCCCTAGAACAGAGCTGCTGTAGGAATGAGGACAGAGACTCCATCCCATGGGCAATGCTGCACATTCCTGTTCCCCAAGGGGCCTACAGCACTCCTGTCTTGGTAAGCACATACCTTCCTCTGCACTTGTGGGGAGCATTTGGAGACGCCGGCAGGTGTCTGAGCAGCTTCTGTTGGGCACTAGAAGTGATTTACCTTTGTTCCATTGGCTTCTTGCTGCCCTGTAACTCCCTTCAGCAGAAGGAGGCCCCTGGGCTCTCCACATCCTGGCCCGGCAGGTCCTCAAGTGTGTCTCTGTGAACACTGGCGCCATGCAGACGGCACGGCTAGGGCTGGGCCTGTTCCCTCCTTTGTTGGCAGAAGGAAAAAAAAGTGGGGGCCCAGAGAGGAGAAGAGAATTTCTTAAGATCGAAGACCTCACGATGGGGCTGGTACCAGAATCCAAGGCTCCTGGATCTAATTAGCTTCGCACAGCCCCGTTTTTCTGGTCCGTGAGTGTGTCTGTTAGCATATAGGTGTGTGTGTTTTCTCCTTTCCTGTTTCATTAGGAAAATGATCTAGCTTATCCCGCCGCCCGCCATGGAAATAGATTTCTGTACGTATGTCCCCACTCCCCGGCTGTTACTGATGCTTTATGAAAACAGAGTGTCGGGGTCTTGTCGAGGACACCCCAGAGGGGCACCCAACTCCCCTGGGTCCTTGTCCCACACATTGAGAAGGAGGACATTGAAACAAAAGGGTCCAGAAGACTCCGGTGGGGGTGGGAGTCATGGGATGCCAGCCGCCAGCGCCGCGAGGTGCAGGGCTGTGCTGGGGGAGGCTGATGAGAGACTATCTGGCCTGGGACAGCTCCTGGGGAGCCGCGGGCACCCATGGACGATGCTGATCCGGAGCCTGCCTGCAGCCTCCCACCTGCTGTGTCCTGGGAGGACGGCGAGGGGTTCCGCTCCTCAGACAAACCCATGCCTCAGTGGGCGGTGCGAGTTCTCCAGGGCACTGCGGAGGGCTCCCCGACACAGACACCTGCGTTTCCCTGCCCCCACCGACAAGAAGCCACAGGACAGAGCACAGGGAGAAGAGTAGGGCCAGAGACCCAGCACAGGTGGTTTTTTTTTTTTTTTTTTTTTTTTTTTAAGGATTTTATTTATTTATTTGAGAGAGAGACAGTGAGAGAGAGCATGAGAGAGCAGAAGGTCAGGCAGGGAGCCCGATGCAGGATTCGATCTTGGTACTCCGGGATCATGACCTGAGCCAAAGGCCATTGCTTAACCGACTGAGTCACCCAGGCACCCCAGCACAGGTGTTTTTACCTGGACGTTTTCCCTGCCAGGTTTTGTCCCAGCGGATATGCAATTCTCCAAGCTGGGATCACAATGCTGTTCCGTCCTTTCTGATATAAACCTGCCGTGAACTCACCCACACCTCCGCAGCCTCCAGAAGGACGATCTGAGCTGTTACAGAGGAATCGGTGGCCTCGTGCCACAGGTTTGGGGCACGTGGCTCATGTGGGGTTTGCCAGTGGTTACATGCAGCCCGCTTCCCTGCCCGTACGTCTTCGTGCCTCTGGACCCTCTCTTCCCTCTGCTGAATTGTCTCTGTGGTGTTCTTCCTGGGAGGAACGTGGGGTGAGGCGTGGGGGGTATTCATGTGGTTTGTTAAAGTCCCGCCTTTCTCCACGGCTCTGCGGACAGCCAGTATGTATGGTTGCCATGGGGATGTGTGTGGGGGGGTGTCTCCCTTATCTCCCCTGACCCCCGCTGCTGCCCACCCCAAGTGGCAGTGCCCTCAACTGGGGCCCTAGGGAAGCCATTGGCACAGTGTGGAGCAAAAGGAGGGTCAGCACAGAGAGCAGGCTCAACCTTGGCCACGGCCACACTCTGTGGCAGACGCCGTGTGTCCATTGGCCTGAGGAGATGCTGGTGCCCAGCTGTGGCTGAGAGAGGGGGAGTGAGGAGGAAGAAGGTGTGGGTCAAGGGGGGCCCATCTCAGCACCTTCTAGAACAGACTGTGAAGGGGAGGGAAGGCAAGGCTCTGTGTCCTTGCTTTCAGCAGTTTTGGGTCCAAAATGTCAGATTTTGTTCATTTTGTGAAGACCAAATAGCTTTCATCTTGAAGTCCAGGTGAAACCCGTTTGCCATGTCCACATTCATGGTTGCTGTGATATATATATATTTTTTTTTTTGGTCTCTCTGAGCTGGAAATGATGAAGCAGATAGGAGACTCCTTGTGCTCTCCTGCCCTGAACGCACAGAGCATGAGGACTGGGGCCTGGGCATGGGATGGGGGGCAGGCAGGTCAGAGCCAATGGAAATTGTGCCAATACAGGCCTGAGCTCAGGGAGAGGCCACAGAGGGCCAGAGGGGTCCACTCGGGACGGTGCTGGGATGTACAAGTCACGGTCAGAGTGGGTGGCTTTCAGTGTCACTGGTGCTTCGACTTCCGGGTGGGAGGTGTGCTGTGATGTGCCCACTGAGCCTCCGGGGAAAACATACCGTGAGATGAGGAATGTACGCCATTGCCCATCCCACCTTCCAAAAACCACACATTGCGCCGCTAGAGATCATGAATGGATCTCATAGTGAAATCTCACCCCTTTAGACCCAGTCAGGCCAAGGTCTGTCAGAGTTACCGAAAAGCCTGCATCTAGAGCTCTAAAAAAGTACCATTTCGTTACTTCAAGGAAAGGAAACAATGAGAATTAAGCCCAACTTTGTGGAAGAGAGGTTCTTGAGTAAGTCGGTGGTTGGTGACTGACACCCCATCGTCCAGCAGGTTCTGAAGTAGGGGGATTCTTGTCAACTGGTTTTATTTTTAAGGTTTTATTTATTCATGTGAGAAAGAGAGTAACAAATAGCATGAGTGGAGGGGAGCAGCAGAGGGAGAGG